TCTCTTCTCCAGCTGGGGTGGGGAGACGGGCTCAGATGTAAGAAGGAGAGGCGCGATCGCCCCTCCCCCACCCCTAGGCATCCTTTTTTCACGGCCTGAACTTGACCCTTGGTTTTAGCCTCCGCACCCCACCCCCCCAATCCCTCTACTGCATTTCCTGGAAAAAGCCAAAGTCCCCACAGGGCATTGGGGGAGGGAGCGGACTAAGGCGAACGTCCCAGGCTAAGGGAGGAGGCCGGCCAGGTAACCCCTGACCTCTGACCCTTGACCCAGCAGCCCCCGCTTTTCCTCGAGGAGGCCACATTTCGCTCTGGGGCATGTGGCGGTTACTCTCCTTTCTGAGGGGGACGAGTGCCAGCCTGGGGGAAGGTCTAGGTTTCGGATGGAGTCCCCGGGAAGTGCGAAGCCCCCTCCGCGCCCCCGGCTCCTCCCCAGCATCTCTCGCGGGCCCCCGGCCCAGTTGTAGCCTTCTCCTACCTCCACACCTTCCTGAGACATGGTGGCGGCGCAGGTCCCCGCGAGGTTCCGCACTGGGCGCTCAGCGCCCCCCTACCTGGGCGCGCCCGTCTGTCCAGCTGCCTCTCAGGGCAGGGGGCGGGGCCTCCAGGCCGGCTCCGCCCTTCCTTTCCAGCCCTCCGTTTCGCTTTCGATTGGAAAGAGGGGGGACGGGGCGCGCTGGCTCCGCCCTGGCTCCACCTCTGCTCTTGCGCCCCAAACCCAGGCGGGCGCCCCCGATCTGCACCCTGCGGCGGAGCTCGCAGACCTCGGGCGGGGGAGGCGGCGCGGCCTCTGCAGTCGGTCACATGTCCCCACGCTGCGCGGGGTCCGCGTCTTCACGTCCCTCGTGGGGGCGGGGCCGCATCTGAAGGCCGCGGTGTGTCTCCCGGCCCCCGCTAGCTTGTGCTCCCCCAGTCCATCGCTCTGTCCCCTCCCCTCCCGTCCCCTCCCCTCCCCCAGGAATCAGGCGCTAATTAGGACCTGGACCCCTTTCTCACTTTGAGCCTCTTACCTCGCCACGTCCCCTCTCTGAACCTCAGTTTACTCCTCTGTAAGATGGGGATGATGATAGTGGCTACATCCTGGAGTGTGTGTGTGTGTGTGTGTGTGTGCCCGCGTGCGTGCGTGTGCCAGGATTCAGGTCCCCGGGTAGAGCACTTAGTAGCTCCTGGCATGCTGTAGACATTCAACTAGTCCCTGGGCCACCTACTATGTGCAAAATACGAAGGGGCAGGCAGTTGACGGGAAGGAGGAGGTGCTTGCTAAAAATACTGATTCCTGGTCCCTAGCCGGTCTGCAGAATCGGGCTGTCTAGGGGTTCCAGGGGATTTGCACTGTAAAACGTAAGGTTGAGAACCCCGGGGGGCCAGGACAATTTTAACCCAGCAAGGGGGGGAGGGGCTCTGTCCCAGCCTTGCCGCATCAGAAATGTCTTCTTGGAGGAGACCTGGAAGTGTGAAGTCTCAGCAGGTGAAGAATGGAGTGGGGGAAGGAAGCAGCTAGCCGTGCAAAACCCCCAGAATCAAGAGAGTCTAGCGCTTTAGGCCAGGGCTTCTCAACCTCAGCAATATTGGCATTTTGGGCTGGATGGTTCTTTGTGGTGGGGGCCTGCCGTGTGCATCGTAGGATGTTTAGCAGCATCCCTGGCCTCAACCCACTAGATGCCAGTGGCACCCCTGCCCCAGTCATGACAGCTGAAAATGTCTCCAGACGTTGCCAAATGTCCTCTGGGGGTGGCAAAATTGCATTAGGATAAATGACTCCTAAAACTGTTTTTCAACATGCACCTCTATCAGTAAAAATGTTGAAGCTCAACCCCCAGAGGGATATTTGTTTATAAATTATATACAAATACAGTTATACTAAGAGATTCTGTAGATCACTTTATTATAATGTATTTATTACATAATGATATTCCTTAGCAAACTTAAAAAAAAAGATTAAAAAAAATGTTCTAATGTTTTCTACTTGAACCCCGAAGTTTTGTTTGTGGGGTCTATGCACCCCTCCCTGGGGTGCATGTAAACAGTTCATGGTTCTTTGTGCTGAGTGGTGGGATTTCAGGCAGGGAAGGGGGGGTGGTATAGGCAGCACAGAGGACCTGGGATTTTATCCTGAGGGAAGTGGGGAGACATGGAGGGGCTCTCCCAGTATAGTTGCCAATTACTACTTACCCAGTGGAGGGGGAAGTCACAGCTACGTCCCACCCCTTGGTCAGGGTGGGCACAGAGCAGGCAGGAAACAGGTGGGAGTCTGATCTGGCCCCCACACAACTCAGGTCTGCTAGATTCTCATCCTAATGGCCACCACAGTGAGAGCTTACTCTGTGCCAGGCACTGTTCCACTTTGGACGCAGCATCAAAGAAAACAAAGATCCCTGCCCACATAAAGCTAGCATTCTAGTGGGGGAGACAGACAAGAAAGAAATATGTAATAGGATAGGAGAGAATGCATGCCAGGATGAAAAATGAACTGGGGCGGGGGGATGGGAAAAGGGAGTTTAGGGAAGCCTGCAGGAAGTAACATCTGAGTGGAGACCTGAAGGATGTGGGAGCCTGGGACTCTTGTTAACAGGTGTTGTAGTTCTCTATTGCTGCATAACAGATTATCCCCAAATGTTATGGCTTAAAACAATAAACACTTATCAGTTCGTATGGTTTTTGTGGGTCAGGAATCTAGCAATGGCTTTACTGAGCTTTCTGGCTCAGGGTTTCCATAAGGTCGTAGTTAAGATGTTGACTGGGGCTGCAGCCATCTAAAAGTTTGACTGGGGCTGGAGGATCTTGCTTCTGTGGTGGCTCACTCACATGACTGGCAGGTGGGTGCTGATTGTTGGAGGGATGCCTCAATTCCTCCCTACTTGGGCTGTTTGAGCTTGATACTCCCAACCTGGCAGCTGGCCTCCACAGAGCAAGCAACCCAAGAGAAGGAAAGCCAGGTGGAAATTGTATATTTTCAAGACCTCACCTTGAAAGTCACATAGCATCACTTCTGCCGCCACATCCTGTGCGTTAAAGTTGAGTCACTAGATCCAGACCATGTTTAGGGAGAGGGGAATAAAGACCCTGCCCTCTCTCCCCTCCTCCCCTCCTCCCCTCCCATCTCCTGCTGGAGCCTCTCACTGGCTGCACCAGCAGGCAAGGAAGGTAAGGGAGCCAGTCATGCAGTTAGCCTGTCAGGGCACAGAGCAGGGGGAGAAGGGTGAGAGTCAATTCAGAAGGACAAATAAAGGTACAACCTGAGTATTCAATTTTGGCATGTGTAGATGATCAGAAAAACAGATTCCCAGCGAACACATGGGGGCGCTACCTACCCACCAACAGTTGAGCTTTGTGGCCATCTTGGTCTGTCTGGCCAGATGTAGCTTGGTTGTAGTGAGTGGTGTGAACATTTCTGCATTTTATCCTTTGTCTTTATAAAAAGGTGTGGAAAGGGAGAAAATGGATGTGCTGATAACAGTGATAAGAAGCGTAGCCTCTGACACTTTAGTATAATTCAGTCAAAGATGAAGCCCATTTGATCCATCCATTCATTAATTTGACAGACATACATCAGGTGCCTCCTATCCGGCAGGCGTGGTGTCTGGCACCATTTCTGCCCTTCCGGAGTCATGGTCTTAATGGGAAAGAGAAACATGAAGCACATGATATCACAAGTAGTTATTTAATTATATTTATGATATGTACCCAAAAAGAGAAATTGAGAGATCCATGAGAAGGGATAACACATGGGACCCTGAACTGGGTAGGGTGGTCAGGGAGGGCTTCATGGAGGAGGTGCCTCTTGAACTGAATTTTTTTTTTTTTTGACCACTCCATGTGGCTTGCAGGATCTTAGTTCCCTGACCAGGGATTGAACTGTGGGTCACGGCAGGAAAGCTCTGAGTCGTAACCACTGGACCTCCAGAGAAGTCCCAATGACCTGAAATCTTAACACTTTCTGAAACACTGTGTCAAGTGTTTTGAACTATGTATCTCATTTGATCCTCATAGCAATCCTATAAGGGGGGTAATATTATTACAAAAGGGAAGACAGGTTCAAGAATCTGCTCAAGGGGGGCCCTCCAAAGGATGAATAGGAACTAACTAGGTGAAGAGGTGCAGGGCAGAAAGAGCAGCAAGTGCAAAGGCCCTGAGGTGGGAAGGGGCAGGGTCTATTGCAGAAATCTATAGGCCACCATGGCTCCGGCTTAGCGAGCAGGGGGGAGAGTGGAGGGAGGGGAAGCTCATGCCCAAAGCAGCAAATCTTGATCTTTAGTTGAACCTTTTGAGGCATATGCTGGGTGACCATAAGTTTAATTGTGGAGGAAATGGACCTGATTGGAGCATGTGTGTACTTTTTGCAACCTAGTCAATTTCCCCCTCAGTTTAATTAATTAATTAATTAATTAATTAGACAATGCTGTGTGGCATGCAGGGTCTTAGTTCCCTGACTAGGGATAGAACCCGTGCCACCTACAGTGGAAGCAAGGAGTCTTAACCACTGGACCGCCAGGGAAGTCCCCCCTCAGTTTAACCAAATGAAGAAATTTGGGGATGCCCAGAATTAGAGATGTTGTGAAATGGGAAATCTCCAAACCGTTGGTTGGAAAGGGCATCCCTTGGTAGAACCTTTGGAGAGGGCAACTCAGCAACACCTACTAAAGCATTGTGTGCTATTTTTTTTAATAACAAAATATTTTTATTAATTAGCTATCAGACATGCCTCTCCAAACTTTTTCCCCACATTTTATGGCTATGTACTCTTCTTTTTTATACATTTATTTATTTATATTTTTTATTTTTGGCTGCGTTGAGTCTTTGTTGTTGTGCGTGGGATTTCTTTAGTTGCGGTGAGTGGGGGCTACTCTTCGTTGCAGTGCACAGGCTTCTCATTGCGGTGGCTTCTCTTGCTGAGGAGCACGGGCTCTAGGTGCGTGGGCTTCAGTAGTTGTGGCATGTGAGCTCTAGAGCGCAGGCTCAGTAGTTGTGGCACACGGACTTAGTTGCTCCACGGCATGTGGGATCTTCCCAGACCAGGGCTTGAACCCTTGTCCCCTTCAGTGGCAGGCGGATTCTTAACCACTGTGCCACCAGGGAAGTCCTATGGCTATGTACTCTTTAATTGACTCTTCATATGCCAATGATTTGTAATGTTTTCTATAGAGAGAATACAAAGATCATTTATCTTTTCTCTAGCATGGTTGATCAGTATTTGATTTTTATTATTAAAAACAGAAAAATTTTTTTCATCCTCATAGTTCATTATTCCTGTGTGTGTGCACGCGCCCATGAAATTCCAGAAGACTGTGTGCTATTTTAATTGTCTCTTTCAACTTTCGTATTCTGATGCTTTGACAGTTGGGGCCTCGCTGACCCTCCCTGGGCACACACACAAACCATTTGTGTGCATTTCTGCATGTGGATCTCCACAACACCTTTACTTTCCACATGGCATATTTCTCTAACAATCAAATTTTTGGTTTTTTTTTTTTTTTTTTTTGCAACAAGCATCCATAACTT